TGCGCGGCGGCACGCCGGCCCTCAGGCGTTTGCCGGGGCCACGCTGGTAGCCGGGAGCAGGCCGGGCGCTTGACCCGAGACCCAGAGCCTGCGACCTCTACGGTGGGGCTAGGCCGTCGGGTCGGTTTAAGGAGTGCCGCTCTCAGCTCTGACTGGTGAGCACTCCGCAAACCGTGACTGGCTTCGCTACCGTGTCTGTAGGAGGCTGCAGGGAGGAACGGCCCGTTAGAGCTCCCGAGCTGCAGCGAAAGTTGGCACTAAGCCGTCTCGTGATTCGAGAAGCCGCAAAGATGCCATGCCCTCAGCACGCTTTTCAAGGAAAGCAGACATTCCGGTCCCTGCTGTTGAATTGAAGGATGACCGTGCCTGTGTTTAGTTTTTCGAGGGTTTTTGCCGTCGGGCGCGTGCGCTCGCTGGAGGGGGAGGGAGACATTGACAGTGAGAGGGAAAGTGAGAAATCACCCCCCAGGTGGGTGGCCACGCCGCAGCCCCTTTCCGCCTTCTCCCGGGATCTTGGGCACGCACGCTGGCCCCCCACGCTGGTATTTTCAGAAAAGGCGTTTTACGCTGAGTCGTAAGTAAATGGGAGTTTTGGAAACCTTCCCTTACAGCTTTAGATGCATGGGTGTTTGTGCTGGCAGAAGCAGTCTGTCGTGACACCTTTGTACCTCCTTTCCTGTTCAGGTGATTTGAAATGAGCCTTTTTGGATCGTTTTAACTGTAAAAGTCAATTCCCAATCTCTGGTCGTCATAAATGAAGCACTTACCGAACATTGATTGGGCATTTACTCCGCATTTACAAAAATACTCCCTCACTAGCCTGTGCATTCTTTGGGGTGAATAGACTAATTTTTTCTCCCTGGATTCACAGACGTGGCAGAGAGCTCAGCCTAGTGAGTACTGAAAGATGCTTGTCCAGGAGATGCTCCAGCCTGGGCCCATGCCTTGAGAAACTATGTGGTAGAAGTTAGAGTAGTTAAGTACTCCCCAGGCAGCCCCAAAGGTTGCTGGCAGAAGTAAAGTGGCAGGTCTCTAAGGTATTCTGGGAACCTAGTCACTCAGAGCATCTGCTTAGATTTGGTCACTTTTCAGCAGTGCTCGGTTGGTATTTCTGCCTTGCTGACTCTGCTCCCTCTGCTGCTTCAAAGTTAGAAAAAGTTGGAAAGTACTAACTTTAATACCAGGCTTTCCGAAATGTAGACTTTTAAAAAAATACGTTTTGGAAACCATTGTGCGTTAGTTTACAGTTTTTGTGTAGAGAACATTTTTCAGACTCTTCTGCCCTCCCCCTTTTTGCTTATTTAAAAATAACATTAGAATTTGCAACTATACTGTAAATTTCTTTCTGGTGCAGCACATAATAGCACCGTCTTTCTTAAGAGAAAACAAATGGCATTAAAATACAGGGCTTCCCCTACTCTGTGATTATAGATCTGGGGTAGCATGTTATTAGAATGCTTACCCCTTTATTTACTAGAGTTAACGTTCAGCTTTTTTGTTTATTCATTTTTAAAAAAATTGTGCCACCTGGTGGTTGAAATCTATTGTTAGCATAGCATACTCCTCAGGATCTCACAGTGTAAGGTGAAGGAGTGAATAAAGTTAAGACCATCTTTGAATATCTCACATGAGAGTACTGTACTGCTTTTACCTTCCCAGTCCACCCCCCCAGGAAAAGTTAAAGTTGCTTTGCTAGATAGCGGTAGCTGAAAATTTCTGAGCCTTCCAGTAACACTTTGAGTGGAATTTTTCTCTCTGCAAGCACCCATGCACCAGATCTCATCACAAATGAATGTTGGGCCACTGAGTTAAGTGCTGTGTGTAGAGAGCTGCATCCCATGTCACCAACCTTGGTTAGATCCTGACCCTGTGGCTTGAAAAACACTCCTGGGGTATGTGTCCAAAATCCTGATTGCATAGACAAGTGGAGAAAAAGGATTGAGATGTAATCACACCCTACCAAGGGATGCTTTCTCTCTCTGAGAAGTGCCTAGGCCTGCTGGCTAAAAGGAAGAAAAAAGTTATAAATTAATGTTCCCTTCATTTTTGTTGAGCAGTGTTGTTGCTGTTCATAATTAGCTTGGCACTACCCATTTGTAATCATTTTCTCTGTTCTTAGTAATAGCAAGTATTTATCATTTGAATGTGCATTAGTTTTGAAAATGGCTTAAGGAAATTGTGAACTTATGTTTGAGAAGAAACATTAAGAATGCAGTGCAAGAATATTTTTGATGCTTATTCGACAGAGCCAGTCTTTTGGGGGCATGTTACAACAGAAAACTCAGCTTGTTTTCTTGTTGGACAGTGCCTTGAGGATGACATCTGTCTTTGTAGCTTCTACCCTTTGATTTCCAGGCCTGTCCTCAGAAGCATCAGAGTAAATTTAATCCAGCCTTTCCCATCCCAGGACTGAATATTTCAGATATACAAATAACATTTTATGTATGTCACACTGCTTGCTGTCTCAAACACTCAACATCTGTTGTAGTATAACTCCAGGAGGGCCAGCTGGTAGTGTGGAGGTTAAGGTGACTGTATCCCACATGGCTGATTGTGCAGTTGAGTCCAGGACCCAGTGGCTTGAAAACATGCCAGGTGTGTGCGCATGCATGCCCAAAATCCTGAGGGGAGAAATGGAGGAGAAGGGATTGAGCATGGCTATCCCTCTGAGGGGGGAAGTGATGTCTCAGTGAGTACAAGCACTATATAGCAAAAGCTTACCCAAACCAAACCAAACCAAAACAAAACCAAAAAACAACACTAAGATACAGGTCAAGAGCTAATTCTAGTTTATGAAAGAAGATAAATTTAGGTCTCAGATAAGTAACCAAAGAGATTTAATTTGTGACTAGCTCAATCTACAATTTTTGCTTTCAATTGTACATCTTTAAATCCATTTTCCTATTTAACTAGACTCTTGTGTATTTTCTTTATTGTGGTCTTCTCTAAGTTGTAAATATTTCTAGTTTTCTGTTTAAACCTAATGTCAAATCAGTCTCCATCCTGAACACCCCTCGCATCCAGGAATATTTGTCAGTATTCTGAATGTTGCTGATCACTGTTGTGTATGATTTTTTTTTTTTTTTGGTGGGAATGGGTGATCAAGACTGATCTGCTTCTAATAATATAGGATAATACCACATTGATTCCTTTGGCATTTATGGCTACTGTTAGTGCCTATTGAACTTGTAGCCAAATGGAGACTCCTTGGGGAATAGTTTCTTTCTGTCTGAATTTAGGAAGGCATGCCTTTCCTATTTTGAACATGGGGAAAATATGTCATGGTAAGAGATTGTGTCAGGTAATAGTAACTGCCACTTGCTTTGTGAACATGGTCTTAGTTTCTCTGTGATGATATGAGTAATGAGTATTTTGACCTAAAACAGAACAATTCCTTACAGTTCAACCTCATTTAAAAAGGTACCACTTCGGGACCAGCAGTTGGCGTAATGGCTATGTCACTGGACTCCCACATAGTCGACCGCGGTTCGAGTTCCGGACCCGGTGGCTTGAACTCACGCTGGGCGCGTGTGTGTGCGTGCCCAAGATCCCGGGAGGAGAATGGAGGAGAAGGGATTGTGGCGTGGCCATCACCCCTGGAGGGTGATTTCTCGCTTTCTGTCTCTCTGTCTGTCTCTGTCTGTCTGGCGAGTGCACGCACCCTATAGCAAAAACCTCTCCAAAAAAAAGAAAAAAAAAGGTACCACTTCATAAGGTTGTTGGATTATAACTGTTGGATATCCTTGTACCTAGTGCTTGGTAAATGTTAAATTTTTTTTTTTTTTGGATTTTTTTTTTTTTTTTTTTTTTTTTTTTTGTCTTAGAGTATGTGCACTTATTGGAGAAAGAGACAGTGAGAGGGAAAGTGAAAAATCACCTCCCATGGGGGATGGTCATGCTGGAATCCCTTCTCTATTCTCCACCCAGGATCTTGGGCATGGATGCACATGTGTTCAGCATTAGTTTTTTGTTTTGTTTTCTTGTTTTTAGAGAGATTTTTGCTATAGGGTGCACACACTTACCAGTGAGACAGAGAGCCAGAAAGCAAGAAATCACCCCCTGGGGGGATGGCCATGCTGAAATCTCTTTTCCTTCATTCTTTCAGGATCTTGGGCATGCATGCACACACACCTAGTGTGAATTTTAAGCCATCGGATCCAGGACTCAAACTGCGGTCAACCATATGGGAGTCCAGCAGCATAACCATTACTCCATCTGTTGGTCCCTCAGCATGAGTTTTAAGCCACTGGGTTCGGGACTTGAGCTGCAATTGGCCATGTGGGAATCCAGCGACAACTGCTATGTCATCTGCTGGCCCCAACAAATTTTCTAATCTAATAATATTGGTATCTTCATATAGTGTAGAAGACATTCTAAAATTAAAATATAGAATATGTATATTTAGCTTTTATTTAGTTTGTAAGAAATATTGTGAATTATAATGTTAGAAGTTCTTTGAGATGACTGCTGGGAAGTATCAGCATTAGTTTGAGTGTGTTCTGAGAAAACAATGGCATTGTTTTATAGTCATCTTTTGTATATCACGCCCAAGAGTATAGCAGTCTCTCTCTGAGTACAGCCATTCGCACCAACATCTAGGCAGAGCCAAGTGACACAGGATGGATGAAAGGGAGCACAGATGAAGGGAGGATGGAGAGAATGGGGAGAAGGAATACCTAGATAAAAAGATGTGGTAGAAGAAAGAGGATAATGATTGATAAAGCAAGGAATTAGTTAGATAAGGAATAAGGTGAGTGTTTAGAGCAGGAAAAGGAAATTAAATGATTTATTCTCTGATATAGTCATCTAGGATAAATAAGTAGAGGGAAGACATCTTATTGGTACCCTGACTAGGTGTATAGTAGCATCCATATTTGAAGTAAACTTTTGTTACAGATGGAGGAAAAATATTATTATGTATATTTATGCTTAAAAACAGTGTATGCTGGTATGTATTATTTCAGCAACCAAGTGGCTTCTCAGGTATATACTAATTAAAGAGGTAATTTTAGCACATCATAAGCTTGCTCCAAAACTATTAAAGGCACAGATTTGAGGGCTGGTTGACAGACATGTGCAAAAAATATTTTGTCAAGTACATTTACAAAATAAATGTTAAAGACACATTCTGTGTGACTAAAGAAATGCACATCTT